TATTAAGAAATACGAATAAAAATTCTAATATATATGTTCTTTTTATATTTATACAATGAAAAATATATCTTAAACATATTTTATTTTGTAAGCACTTAATCTGATGAATAATATTGAGAAAATATAATTTTAATTGTAATAAAAACAGAATAATATAAAAGGATATAAATATATGTCAAAATATACAATGTAAAATTATTGTTAATATGTTGTTCAATGAAAGCTATCTGAAAATTCACTGTTAAAAGCAATATAATCTTTTATTGATATACATTAATAGTTTTATGAAATGATTATTAGAAATTATAATAATATAACTATGATTAATGACCAAAAAGGTACTATATGAATGGTGTATATAACAAATATTATAAGGGATAAATTATACACATATATACACTTCAATACACAAAATTATGATAAAATCAGATTCATCTAGCTTAAATCTAATAATAATATATTTTCAAATGATAAATAAAAATATATATATACGAAAAAATAAATTAATATATGATATAAATGCATATTTATATATTGGAAAAAATATTATGTGTAATACCATTTTCATACCATATCGATATTTGATTTAATGCATATAAATGAAAAATACAATATTAATCTAATTAAATATATCATTAATATATAATGTGAGATATTAATTATTAAAATCCTTCAGCAATAATATTAAAAAATAAAATATAAAATAATTAAATAATAATAAAAAACAATTAATTGTAATAAAAAAATATAAACCAAGACACCTAAAGCTCAACACTAAACCTAAACCCTGAACCCTAAACCTTGAAACCTAATCCTTGAACTCTAAACATTAATATATATACATGTCTCATATTTATCCTAGTCTATATATATAATAATTATTTATTTTTATATTATTAAAATTTATAGAGTACCATTAAAATAGAAATATATTAATATATATATAATATAAAAATATTTTTGTACATTATATATTTGGCCTATTATAACTCAATAAAATTAACAGTTTATTATTTATAATATCTAATTAGGCATTTTATGGATAAAATTATAGAACGGATTTATATAGTATTATTATTTGCATATAATTTGTGCAATTATTATTATAATTAAAATGAAGAAATTACCTATTAAATTTCATTATATTTTAAATATTTTTTACTTACGTTTTATGCAGTTACGTACATAAACACATCATTTCTGTTATAAATGTATATATATATTAGACTTTTTGTATTTAGTCATTTTTTTTAAGCATATATTTATATATCTGCTGAACCCAGAGATATTTAATATTTATACATTGACAACTTCTAGATTTCTTTTAAATGTATAATGAATAATGTTTTTCATCATTTTGTTCATTTTTATAGTTTATTTCCTTCACAATTGACTTACTCGCAGAGAAATTGCATAGTATGAAATTGTTATTTAAGCTAATAAATGTATGGTTCCATGCATAAATTTATAACTTTATTAATTTATTGGTTTAATTTCTTAAATAATTATAAAATTATTTGCTTATATAAGGATTATTTAAACATATTTTATGAATTAATTATGCAATATATAGTGATTCACTTAATTTAGTGTATATGCTATATACATAATTTTATCGATGATTAGAATAAATATTAAGTACATGCCTTCAGTAAATCAATTATTTCCCCCCCTAAACTAAAAATTATCGCATCTATAACGCCTGATATGTTAAGTTAAAAATATAATTTACTTGTTTTATTTCTTATATTTAACTTTGAAATATGGCATATATAAAATATTTTTATATTGTACATATTTCTTGCAGATTAATAGTACATAATGTTTTATGTAATTACATGCATCATTAACGTGCATTATTATATAAGAATATAAATAATCATTAGATATATATGAATAAAATACGTAAAAGTATATTTTAATCCTTAGTTTAAATAGAAATATGTTTTGATATTTATGACGATATAAAAAAAATTTGTAGTTTTTTTTGTAAAAATATAATTCTTAGGAAATTATTCCTGTGATTCTGTTTCTTATAAGAGCTAATTTAAGAAAATATGTATTCACAAAAATTCAAAAATATATTTTATAAATATTTTATTTTTGTGTTTATGTTAGCATTGTATTATTTGTAATACCTATATAAAATTTTTAACATTACAACCAATTCTATAATATTACAACATTCATGTAATATTTCATATCTTTATATGCTCAGTTATAAAAATCTAATATATATAGAATCACTATTTTCACAAAATATTTATTCATATGAATATTTATATATTTTATAGTGCTATTTCATTAAATAAATTGATAGATACATATCTAAATGATATAACTCTATTAATATATTACGAAAGTCTTTATATATAAAAATATATAACTGATAAATATTAGCATGTATATATTGTATTCAAAAATTGGAGATAACATTATTTAGATTTACTAATTAATCCATATTTACTATATAATAACAAATATATTCTGTATGTTATAATAATATATAAAACTTTAATTCGATATAGTTATATCTGCATATAAATAATTAAGGAAGAATTTCAAATAAAATCATATATATAATATATTTAATTACTTTTCTTTAATCATTTAATAAATATTGTATAAGGAGAAATTCTTTTAATTTTATTAATTTTTGTATAATATTTTTATAATTAGTTGGAAAATTACCAATATATGGTTAATCAGTATATAAGAAAAAAAATGTATATTTTATGATTCTTAATATTTTAATTTTTAAAAAATATAATGTTATACTCAATGTTTCTATATTGATTACAATTGTACTTATAACTATATAAAAAGAAAAATAAATGTTTTGTATGTATTAAAATAAAAATCTTTGAATATGGTTTTTCTAAAAGAAATATAATATATATATATTATTTTCATATTATTTTCCATTACAAAATTAATACTGTTCCTTTAGGTATAAGTATTTAAATATGTAATATATGCATACATTATTGCACAAAATAAATTAACGCTTTTTGTGTATATACATATATATAAATAAACAAAAATATAATTTTAAAAGAGTAGAATGAATGAAAAAAAATTATTAAAATGTATGAATTGTATATTGCTGTTGTAACATTTACACAGTAAAAAATAATTTCACCTAGAAAAAGTATATATTCAAAAAATAAAAATAGGTGCATAAAAAAAGTTTACTAAAATTAATATGAACAGCAAATTTATACAATTTTAAAAAATATATAAAGTTATAATGTAAAAAAAAGGAAAAAATTTTGATTACTAGAATTCTATAATAATATAATGCTAACATAAATTATTTATAATTATTGTATATGGATAATAAATTGGAATATATGAAAAATAATTTAATGTGTTACTAGTATTAACATCGAAAACTGATTATTTTCACTTGAATTTTTAAAACAGTTATATTATCAATTTAAAACATTTATTTTTAGCGCTTAAAATCAGAGTCCATATATATAAAATATTTAGTTATCTGTTTGTAATAGTAATTACTCCACATAATAATTTGTTTTAATTACTTTTCATACATAATATTCTGAAGCATTAAATAATGATAATTTCTATGTTAAGAAGTCATGTTAATTCATAATTTGATATAATATATAATATACTACATATTACGAAATATATTATAACTGAAAATATTAGGACAAAAATCATAGGTTGAATAAGAATATTCACATTATCTGTTACATATATGTATAACATAAAAAGCATACATTGTTCTATAAATATAATTGTTTTAATAAATATTATAAAATATGAAGATTATATAATTAACACAAATAATTGTTAAATATTTTTTAATAACTTATATAATTATATAATCATATGGTAATTATGATTTATTTTTTTCGTTTGTATATTATGTATAATCGTGAAAAATTATAATTTTCAGAATTTCTTATGTTTTATATTAATTATTATTTAAAAATTATACATAAACCATTAACAAGTAGATGAATTGAAGTATGAGTAATTTACCATTAGATCTATATTTATAATATAAAATAATATATCTATATGACATCATAATTTAATTAGAAGAAATCATTATTAATTATACTGTACATGTAATTAATTTAAATAAGTTTTTTAAAATATAATAATACAATTATATTGTATTCTTTTATTTATTTTACTTTATGGTTCTTGCATGATGATTTAAAAATAATGTCTTATTTTATATGATTTTTTTTTTATTTTTTTCATTTTAATATATAATTTTATTTATCGTTATATTTAAATTTAGAAAAAAATTACTGCTTTTCAGAAAAAAATATTTAAGAACTTTTCTCATTTGTTAAATTTCAATAATAATATATTTATCAATTTAATTAATGCATATTATAATTTCAATAATTCTTTACATGATATAAATTTATAGTAGTTTTTCTAGCAACATTAATTATTGTTTAATACGTGTGAATATTTATATATTTATATTATCATTTTTAACTTAAAATATTTTTTTTTGTAATATTTAAATAAATTTTTTTCATTATATTTACAATTTTCAGTTTGAAAAATTAGACTTTACGCTTATGTGATAGAATTCTTTTCAATAATTTCATTTTATTTTTTAAAGCAATGGATAATTTATTAACTAATATAATATGGTTGTTAATAATAATCTTCAGCGTTATATGCTACATTATACCTATAATCGTATGAATCGTTGTACATCCTATCAAATGATTTCATTAGATCTACATGTTCTTTATTTTTTCTGTTGAACCTTTTCCTTAATTTTTTTATCTTTGCTTTTAAAAATGATAAAAATGGTGTATACTGAAAAAAATATAAATATATATATATCATTTTTTTGAGTATAATATTTAAGTGATAAATATTATTCATCATAAAATGCAATATATATTGGAATATAAAATAAATATTATAAATTAGTTGTTTATATAACCTTATACAGAATGAATATAATTATTAGTATAGCAAATATTAAAAAAGTAGTGCTTGATCCTGAAACAATACTTGTGTCTTCTATTTCTAACTTTATTGCCTCTGACAATGTTATTTTCTCTATCTCTCCATTTTTTATTTGTGTTAGTGTTAATTGTTTTGTTCTACCTTTTTCAATTTGTATTATTATTGGAGATTCTTTAATTTCTGATTGTTTTGGCGTTTCTTCAACCCTTGTTTTTGGTTCTTCCTGTTTTACTAATATAACTTGTTTTTTCTCATCAGGGGAGGGTAAAGTTAATATATATTCTCTATTATAACAATCATAGCATGTTCTATATCTCTCATATTCTTTTTTAAATTCTTCCATTACTAGTTGTACTCCATGTTTCCCCCATACATTCTTATTATCTAAAATTTTTTTATATGTATCATAATATGTTTTACGATAACTATAATTCCAATAGCGAGAATGAATTTGTATTATATTTTGATATAGTATAACCATATATCGAAACAAGTCAATAATATCATGTGCTTCTCTTTCTTTAATATTATTTATAATATCATTATTATTTTTATCAAAAATATGATTGCATATATCAAGTTGTTTGTAATTTGGAGGAAGTTTCTGATTCTTTAATTTTTGAATAACATCCTCATAAGACTTTATAACTTCTTGCTTATTACAACCAGTGTTTATTAACACATGTATAAGCATGTATATGAAGTAAGTACATCCGTATACTACATTTATTTCATCATAATTAAATTTTTCTTTTAAATAATACAAATAACGACCAAGATCTATAAAATCTAGGTTACTAATTCTACAGCAACATCCATTATTTTCATTCATACTACGATTTAATGCATTGTATAATTCATATAATCTAGTGTTTAAACTAATATATGGACTTCTGTAGTTGCTATTATAATTATTTTTAACAAAATTATAATAATAAGCATATGTGGGAAATACCTCATTAAGATCAAGCTAAAAACAAACATAATTTAGTAAAAAAAATTTTTTAATATATACTTTTTTAAATGTATATATATTTCGCTTAAAAAATGATTGGTAAATTAATTGCGACAATATAATTAATAATTAAAATAGCATGAAGAAACGCACCTCTTCTAGGTCAATTTCATAACCAGCCATTATATTTCATGTCTATGTTAGTACAAAAATATACTATGTGATTTAATACAAACTTTTTGTTAAACGAGTAATAGTAAACATTATAATTATAATATTTCAATTAATATATATAATATTTTAAATTTCTATTTATATAAAATTATATATATATAATGTTCTATGATATTATTATCTTTTATAATAAAGTCACTATTGTTATATATGTATATAGTATACAAAAGAGCTTGAGCTTGATTTAATTTATATTATAATGTTATATAATAAGAATACGTTTTACAGAACTTAATATATACACATTATATTAGTGAAATAAATGTATTATTATCTATAAAAAGGTAAATGTAATATATATTAATACTATCCAAAATATTATTTTAACATATTTATTTTTAAGTTTGCAATAACTCATTAAAATTTTTATATAAATGGAATTATTTTAAATTTGTGTTTACATGGATTTCATTTATCAGATTTTTTATTAATATATCTATTTCATTTTTCTCAGTACATTGTTTATGGATTAGAAAACACACTTTTTATTAATATGAAGTAATAATTTCAATTGATTTTGTTTTAATATACAATTAAAAATATGTGTATTATGCATAAATTTCTTGTAGAATATTTTGGAATTATTTCATTATTATTTTTAGTTTAACATATGAATGTCATGATATACAATTTAATAAATAAGTACATATGTATATATTATTTATTATTATAATATATTTATTACACCCTATTTCATTTTTTTCTGTCTATCACAAGAATATTTAGGATATATTATTACCATATTTGTTTAAATGTAATGAAAAAAGTAAAATTACAAATTGCTCATATTGTTTGCACTTTTTATAGTTTAAAATTTGTTCTTTATTTGTATTAAATAATATATAACTTCAATATACAAACCTTCATATAAAAATAAAATGTTAATGTAATGATATAAATATTTTATTTTTTTATTAGTGAATTATAAATTACAAAAAATCCTTTTATTATGGTTACGAAATTTTTTTATTTTGCAGTATATATTTAAAATTATAGTATAGTTTGGTAATAAATAAAAAAAATTGAGAGTGCAATACATTATTCCATACAATACATATTTACCATATATGAAAAAAAATTTATATATATTTTAAAATTTTGATTGCTCTTTGTGAGAATAAAACAAGGAATATTATATTTACAGTAGCTGTTTATGTTTTTTTTTTGCAATATTTATTAATATACAAACGAGCATAGACAATTTACATAACGAATAAATATATGATATCTCAAGTCACAATGTTTTACAGTAAATTTAACTTAATACATATATTATTATTTTTTTTTGGAATTCATAACTCATATAATATATATTTTTAATATAATAATTAATATTATCTATAATATGATAGTTAAAATGTTTTATGTGTATGTAATTTTTTTCAATTTGTGAACTATAATTTTTTGAGAAATAAAAATTTATTGGAAAACACTTAATTCCAAAAATTTTCAAACTGTGTAAAGTTAATTATAAATATGTGAATAAATTCAAGGATACTAATATACTCAGAAGTGTAAATGTATTTTTGCTTAAGAATTAAGTTAAATAATGTTATAATTTTATACGTACTAGAAAATCTCACTTTTATTCTATATATGTAAAGAGGAATGGTATATACATATCTATTCATTAATACTTCAAGTTCATTTTATTCAAATAACATTTTTCTGGAAAACATTTAACTTATTTAAATAGATATTTACAACTATAATAATTTAATTTTTTTTTCTTAATTAGACGACAGTATGAAATATTTTTTATAATATTTTTTTTGAATCATTTAACATTAATTTATTTTTTACAAGATATGAATGTTATATTTTTTAAATTAATATATATTTGTAATATATACAATTTCCCTGAATATTAATGTGTAAATATCATATTCATAATGATAGAACACTATATGAATAGAATTATATATTATCCTTCTATTAATGAATAATACAAATTGATATTTTTTAACAAAAATCACCTTTGTTTTTTCTATTGGATACCTTGATACATATTGTATTTATTTAATTTATATAATTGCATGCATATTTATGATATAATTATTATGATTTAAATGATAAATAGTTAACACTATTAATGGAAAACATATAGAATTATTTATTAAAAATAAGAAAAACTGTTATTGAATTAAGAAACTATTAAATCATCTACAACCTTTTTATAACACAAAAAAAATTGATAAATAGCATAGGAATATTCTATGTTACTTTTATTTAAATAAAAAATAACTAAAACATTTAGAGTTACAATCAAAGTGCATAAAAAATATTATTCTTTTGTTTATATTATATAATATTAAAAAAAAACAATGTACCAGTATTTGTCTCGTGTAAATTTAATTTATGAGCTAATATGTTACATATACAATTTAAAAAGGACGTAATAAAAAGATTCAATTTTAATTATAAAAAAGATTTGAAGAAATCTATAATATATAAATTTATACTATATTTTTTTATTCGTTATATATTATAAAATAACGCTTGGAAAATCTGCTTACTTGTAAATATAAGGTTTATGTAAATAAATATTATATATTGTTATAGAGGAAAAGGTTTATTATATAAAGTGTAATGAAGAAATATAATCACGAATAATCATTAAGGCTAATTTAAATAAAAGATATATTAATAATATTAATTTATTCTACTTAATAAATATATATTCTTTACATAATTATTTTCTTTACTCTAATTTATAATTATTATTATATTTTACTTTTTATTTATATGGTTCACTGTAATGTTCATAAATGTTTTATATTTATTTCATTTATTGTCCATTTTAACGTAATAATCATTTTACTTTTTTGAATTAAATTAATTTACTTAAAATGATATTATATATATATTTAATTTTTTACACTCAAGTGATTTGTATGTTTCTGAAGCATAATCAGATAATTTTCTGTCTTCATATTTTAGACTAAATCTATTAATTTTTTTTTGCAAGATTATTATGTATAATTTTCACTCCTGTTGTATACTGGTATATAAATCACAATATAAAATTTATACAATATATTTTTTTATCACATAGAGTTACAAATTACAAAATGATATACACATTATTTTATATAAATGTTGGAATTAAATAAATTTTTATTTTATTTGAAATTCCAAAATGTACAGAAATAAAAACTATTACCAGTGTTTCATTTCCTATAACATCTACCGTTTGAGATCTATCATATTTAAGTTATACATAATCATAATTTTTTTTTATTTCCATATGATTCTATAAAGGTAATTTAATTTTCTTTAAAGGAAGATACATTTTTTTTTGACTGATTGTTTGACACACGCTTTTCAAAAAAATATTTTGAAAACGCGTTGAATTTTTATATTGTGTTTAGATTTTTTTTTTTAGAAACATTATTTATTCTAATTATTCATTTTAATTAAACTTGTTTAGGATCTTTTATGCAGGATTCTTTTATCATTTTTTATATATTTCTGAGAATATTATATTGTCCTCTTTATTATATCATTATGTCTCATAATTTTCAAGTACTGTGAATTTTCTTTGGATCACATGAATGAAGAAAGTTGGACATATTATAATAGTTATTCCATATATAAATATTTAAAATATTATTAATATCAACATAATAATCATATAATTATTTTATATATTCCCATTTAGTATCATCAGCAATGATAGAAATGGATTTACACAGTAGATATTAACATTGACACATTCGCGTTTTTTTTTAAAAAAGCATTCCTAGCACGTTCAATTGCTTTTTATGAAGTAGTAATTTTATAGTATTCATTATAATCATAAATTGCATTTATATGGCAATATATACAAATATAAATAAGAGTGCAATAATCTCATTTTCTGCTTCATATGCTTTTGATAATTATGTTTCTAATTAATGTAATGCTTCTAAAAATTTTTTTTACAACATTAGGCATTCCATAGAATTTAGCTATAACATTTCTGCAGTATTTTTTACATGTTCCGTAATACTTGTTTTTTCGTATCAAGGGATTATAAGAAATATGAGAGGATAATTTTTTCATATAATAATGCATCACTTACTAAATTAAATTTAAACTATATATGAAAATATGTCTTACTAAGTATAGAACAAAAGTCAGTGAAGTTTACAAAACATGAATATTAAAATGATGAATCATATATTACAGCTCCTCGTAAAGAATGATAAGTTAATTAGAATAAATATAAAGTAATGGACTATATAAGATATACTTGCAAATAAGTGATGTTTTCATTTTTTCTTTTAATACATTGATATATGTTTTAATAATTACATTATTTATTCTTGAGTGGTTTTATTTTTTTATTACGTAAAAAGTAATAAAACATTTTTATATTACATTGTCGGAATTTTCACTAATTATTAATATGTATCATAAAATGTTTTTATAATAGTGTATTATACATTAATTTTTATTTCATAATTATGTATTATAAATCAATATATTAATTTATATATAAATATTTTTCATATGGAAATATTTTTCCATAAGCTCTATATATTATATGTGATATATGTTAATATATATAAAAAAAAAAATTAATGCACTTATAATTGTTACATATGCGCTTTTATTTCGTGATATTTATTATAATTTAATTATTATTATATCATAATATTTTTAGCATGAATTATTTTAGCAATATAAACACAGAATTATATTATTTCAGGATATGATATAGATTATAATTGAAAGAATTTAATTGGATTATTTATTTTTACACTAATGGATTATTTATTAATGTATTTCTTTTTTTTTTTTATAATATAATTTTATTTTATACATATACAAACAATTATTAATAAATTTACTTAATTACATAAAGGAATCACATCTAACATGTAATAAAAAAAATAACACTACTTTTATTCCATTTCACATAAATAGGTCACATTTAGCTAATATTTTTTATATTTACTCCCAGA